AGGGTCGATTAGGTGAACTCTGAAGTTTCTTACTCCTTTCCACGAGTCTGGAATTTTTTTTTTTTTTTTTTTTTTTTGAGGAGATCAGCCCTGTGCTAACATCTGCCAATCCCCCACTTTTTTTTGCTGAGGAAGACTGGCCTTGGGCTAACATCCGTGCCCATCTTCCTCCACTTTATATGGGATGCCGCCACAGCATGGCTTGACAAGCAGTGCATCGGTGCGCGCCCAGGAACCGAACCGGTGAACCCCGGGCCGCCACAGCGGAGCATGCGCACTTAACCGCTTGTGCCACGGGGCCAGCCCCAGAGTCTGGAATTTTTAAGATGGGGTTCAATAGGCATTAGAGGTCAGAGGATCCAGTGGCAAAACGAAACACTGCAGTCCAACTCTTTGAGTAGTTCTAAAGAGCTATACAAAAGGAGAGTACAAGCAACAAAAGAGAAAGAAGTGGAGTTTAGGAACTCCTTAGCATGGATCCAAATCTGGAGAGTTAAAACTAGCTACTGAATCTGTGGTTTTATATTCAGTAAAGAGCTTCAAGTTGTTCTCAACAAGCAGAAAGTTACCATGTGCCATAATTACACATCCACCACAGGGTCCCCAGGAAGTTAACTTCTCCTGAGCGTCTAGTTTTCACCTCCTACTCTTCCTTTCCACTAATGTTCTGAGAAGGGATCTAGTACAGCTGGACAACTAATAGCAAATTATATAAATTACATATGCTATTACAGCCAAAAAATTGGTTTCCCTTAAAAACAGCATTCAACAATGGTAATTATTAAAACAAAAGAACAATAAGACCTAAGTCTGGTTCTGATATATTTGAGGATGTAGTTAACATGAATGCAATCAACCTTTTTCTAAAAAATCACTAGAGGCAGACCTCAAAGTCCTGTTCCTAACTCATTCCTCAGCTCACATTTTGCCATCGGGCAATTCTTATTAGCATACATATAGTTAATACCATTATTTATGTCTTCATAACCTCAGTTCAAATAACTGTAAGAAAGCAACTGTACAAAATCTCTTCATATTGAATTTTTTTTTCCTACACTTATTCACTCTGTTCTTCCTACAGATAAATAAATCCAGTTCTTTCCTGCCCATAATCTGTTTTTCTTTCTCTCTGCCTTAAAAATCTTCCCTAACAGGGCATGATACTTACTAAAAAGGCCTGAACACAAATACTTATAATTCTGAGAAAGAAAGAAATTCAGTTTTATCCTCACCCCTGGAACCCTCCATTTATCTCCTCAGTTGCATGCTTATCTATTTGATATAAGTTTTATCCTCTGAACTTCTAAGTGGACTTTCATAAATTCTAAGTAGAGACAGCTTTGGGATGAAATATGTTTTGAGCAGGTAAAGCCTAAATTTTGGCAAAATAAATAGTTTGGAGGAACCCTTGCTAAGCCAGGTCCCCAGAGCACCCTAAATGTAGGGCTGGGGTAGGAGAGTGACTAGACACCTGGACATTTGTGAGGAAACTAGAAGAAAAGAATCGGACACTCATATGGGTTTCTGTCCCTCTTCCCAAGCTGGTGAGAGCGGAGGAAAAAGAGGGGATTAAAAAAAGCCCTAGCTAGATCTGCAGGATTCAAGAACAGATGAGGCCTAGAGAGACAGAAAGCCAGGTAGGGAAGTTCCCCATTCCCATGCCACCCTCAGGCCAGTAAGATGCTCTAGGAATAAAGTAGAAAAAGTAGCCTGATAGACGTGGGCCATGAGGACTTGACAATCCCACTGCTTATTCCAAGTTTCAGACCACCTGGCTCCACTACCACTAGCATCTGCTGTCAGTGGATGCTGTGTATACTGAGGAAGCTGGAGGCTACAACAAACCCATGGACATCATAATGAATTCAACAGTGAGAGAGGCCTGTAACACATAGGTAGGTGGACTTCTTCTGAGATAGGGCTTGCCTATCTCAGAAGAAGCCAACAGTGGGAAGAGGGTGACCATGAACCAGACTGGTCCCTCCCACAATGACACAGAAGCTCCCTGGAATCCAGATGCTACCCAGTGGAGAGGGAAGGGGGGAAAACAAATATAAAGTGCCATGTAAAAAGAGACTAGGCTTACATAGAGGAGACTAGCAGAACACAGGCAAGGAGCCAGGAATTAAACTGAGTTAGAGAACATAAAAAAAGTTACAAGAGGCTCCCTTCTTGCAATTTCCACCATGGCTGGGGAGGAGAGGCAGTGTAGGTGTGAGAACATCTGGCAAGGTCTGCCCCAGTCACAGGCCCAGAACACAGTCCGTCCATGACCTTGCAGGCTGAGCCTGGTATATAACCCGTCCAACCAGCCCTCTCGATCTGGAAACCAGAGGCCACAGTGGCTGCACGCAGCTGCTTGTCAGCACTCCCTTGGCAAGGGCCCTGTGGCCCAGAAGGTCACACACCAAGCAGTCATTCCCTCTGCAAGCCCCTTGTGTGTGACCTGTGTGTTCTGAAGACCTCTGTGTCCTCTGCATCCCCACTTTTTCCCCATTTTTCTCTAACCTCCCTAACCCCCCGCTGGTGCCAGGCTCCCACTGCATACCCAGCCACCAGGTGCCGATTATCTGTTCCCTGTCTGCACTCCAGAGAGTGGCCTATTGTTTGCCCAGCAACTCCAGACCATTCCCAGCCTGGCCAAACCAGTGAACTTCTCTGCTACCTCGTGGCCAAACCACACCTCCAATAAGGTCTGAGCCCCTTCCAAGTACGTCCTTCCTTGGACACTCTCTCTCAGCTCCAGAATACCACACAGAGTTTCCTTATGTCTTATAGTTACTTTTTCATCATAGTTAACAATTCTTTATATTAAACTTCCCCTGATTAACCTAATGTATGGTTTCTATTTCTTGATTGGATCCAGAGGGCTACATCCTGCTAGTCTCAGAATCTATCACTATTTCCACTTTCTCCATTGATACCTCCCCCAAAATCACCATTTCCTCTCCATCACCTGGACCATTCCCAGCCCCTAATGTCTCTCTCCTATAGAGATGGTCTTGGACAACCCCAGATCTACTCTATCAACCTTCCCCCCAAACGCTATTTTATTGGTCAATTTTAGAACATGCAAGGGTTCTCTCAGATCAGATCAGATCAAATATGAACTCCTACACTGAGATTTTAAGGCGTTCTATGACCTGGCCTCACCTGGCCGATCCAGCTCCACTGCACATCAGGAAGACTTCCCTCCAAGTAAGAGTCATGCAGACGTCTAGCCCTCGCCATGCCTAATTCCATTGTCATGTTTGTGCTCATGCTCCTTTTTCCCCCTTCTTTTCGCACTTATCCGAGAGCCTTATCCCAGAGCCTTCTGTAACCACAGGCCCTCCAGGACCAGTTCAACGGACCCCATCTCTTATCAACGGAGTGATTAAGAATTGTCTTTCAGGGGGCCGGTCCAGTGGTGCAAGCGGTTAAGTGCGCGTGCTCTGCTGCAGCGGCCTGGGTTTCACGGGTTCAGATCCCGGGCACGCACCAACGCACTGCTCGTCAAGCCATGCTGTGGCGGCGTCCCATATAAAGTGGAGGAAGATGGGCATGGATGTTAGCCCAGGGCCAGTCTTCCTCAGCAAAAAGAGGAGGATTGGCAGATGTTAGCTCAGGGCCGATCTTCCTTACAAAAAAAAAAATAATAATTGTCTTTCAGAAAAACTGTACTCACGTAGTCAGGGCATGTGCAAAAGAAGAAATCGTGACCTGAAACGACCCTGGAACCAAAGATCATCCTCCCCACGGAACCCAAGGACCAGGACATGGCCGGAACTTGAATGCCAGACTCCTATCAGAAGCGAGGGGTCCCTCATTCAGGAGGATCCGATGTTAAAATTCCTTCCACACCTCATCAAAAATATTTAGAACCCCATCATAAATGTTTAGAACCCTGTCATAAATGTTTAAAACCTTACCATAAATGCTTGAAGCCCACCAATCAAAACTTGTCCCACCAGTGTTTCCACGTGCCAGCCTGTTCTCCCTAACCTCTTAAATTTCGCCCCAAGTCCTGAATCAGGAAGACAGATCTGAGGGCACATGCCCCCTGTCTCCCTGAAGATCAATTTCACAGAATAAAAGCTGATATCTCCCCCCGAAGGCTGATGCCATAATTAATTGGCTTGTTTATTCACATCAGGCAGAGAACCCCAAGTTTGTGAGGTAACACTTCCGGGGCCAGTTCTAAGAGCCTGTCACACATGAGTCCTTTTGGGGGTGATTTCTTCCTACATTTTTGTCTATGTTGTCCTCACCATATTATATTAGCACCTTATTATATAATTCCCTAAGTGGAGATACTCCCTAGATTAACCTTATGATACTCTTTCCTTATGTGTTCATGGCTTATTATCCTAACCTATTTTTAACTATGCTTTATATTTTTTATACAACTTCACAAATCTTTCCCATAGTGGTAAGCTCAATGTTAGAAGATGGGAAAACCAGACTAAGTCAAATAGTTTTAACCCAAAGTAACAGTTATGTATAGGACCACTGCTAGGCTATACAAAACCTTTCCACAGATTAGAAAAAGGCATCCCTTCCTCCAAGCGGATGCAGCCTCACATCAGGTTACATGGCTTGGCAAACGGAGCCCAGGTAGGATATCAACTCAACCTTATAAAACTGTATGTGGCAGCACTGGATTCATGAAAACAACACTGATGTTTAAAAAAAGAGTCAAATTGTAATACAAAAAACTTTTAAAGGAGGTTGTCCCTTGAATTTTGTTTTAGTAGAATTTTATCCCACTGTATATCACTCTAATCCTAAACAATGTCTCACAGCTTGGGCGTTAGATTAGTTATACGGCAAATTTCATGCTGTAGTAGCTATTTTGATGGAATTTCTTTTCTCAGCCAATATTAATTGAGAGTCTAAGTCTACACTAGGCCCTGGACCCAGGTCTAGCGATACAAATGTGGTATCTGACTCATGGAGCTTACATCTCAGTGAAACGATCTATATTTAGAAGGAAATAATTTTCTTTATGTTATACTTACTGATAAACTTGTTTTGCATAGTCTCCAACAGAGCTTGGTGAGCATCTTCAGCTTGTAAAGCATGTGAACATTCTCTAGCCAGTATGGTGCGCACAAGATGCTCCCCACATCCTAGAAATCCAAGGAAACCAAGAACGGCTTAGGAAAAGCAGTACTCAACATCCTTCTTGTCTTACTAGCATTAAAACACCCTTATGCACCACTTAAGAAGTAGTTGTGCTGGAGAACAATTCAGTGATGGATGAAATGATTTCTATGAGCAATCTAGTAATTTTAGTAATGCGATTCAGCAAAAACTAAAGAAACACTTGACTGTCTTATCTCAAAAGGAAACAAAGAAAAATAAAAGAAAATCCCCTTTTCATAGGAATTATTTACAAAATACAGTAATTTAGATTCTCTACCTAGGGATTTCCTAGCGTTCTGTCTCATTTCCATTGTTGGGTAACTACAAAAAATTCTGTTTTATAATTATTTGTTTATATTCAATTGGCCTAGTCTCCCATTTTCTCTCGGGCACCCCACACAGCTGGGAGCATACGAGAAATCTAGGCAGCCAAGGGCAACCTGAATCTCTCCCACCTACTTTTCACTGCAATGCCCACCACACATCAACAGCTGTAAAGTGGATTTGATAAAACAGCACCTTTCTCACCTTCTAACAGTAATCTACATAGCTTCCAAGAGTGAATACTCTCTGTAGCTCTGAAGAAAGAGTGCATTTTAAACCCCCTGAGGTGAACTTGGACCATCAGACACACTAAGACAGGGCAGGTATGGTGGTGGTGGGAGGCACTGCCTAGAATTCCATTACAGTTTCTGCCTGTTAAAAGTAGAAACTGCCAGGAAAGGTGGAGGCAAAGGAAATTTAATTTGCCTCTGATAAGTTCAAATAAAAGATTTCTGGGGGCTGGCCCCGTGGCGTAGCAGTTAAGTGCGTGCGCTCTGCTGCTGGTGGCCTGGGTTCAGATCTCAGGTGC